AGGCCAAAGCTCATCTGGAGCTCAATCTGGCTACTGCTGTTAAAGATAACAAAAAACGCTTTTATAAATACATCAACACAAAAAGGAGGACTAGGGAGAATCTCCATCCTTTACTGGATGCGGGGGGAAACTTAGTTACAAGAGATGAGGAAAAGGCGGAGGTGCTTAATGCCTTCTTTGCCTCAGTCTTTAGCGGCAAAACCGGTTGCTCTCTGGATACCCAGTACCCAGAACTGGTGGAAGGGGACGGGGAGCAGGATGTGGCCCTCACCATCCACGAAGAACTGGTTGGTGACCTGGTACGGCACTTGGATGTGCACAAATCGATGGGGCCAGATGGGATCCACCCAAGGGTACTGAGAGAACTGGCAGAGGAGCTGGCCAAGCCCCTATCCATCATTTATCAGCAGTCCTGGCTATCGGGGGAGGTCCCAGCTGACTGGCGACTAGCAAATGTGACGCCCATCTACAAGAAGGGCCGGAGGGCAGACCCGGGGAACTACAGTCCGGTCAGTTTGACCTCGGTACCAGGGAAGCTCATGGAGCAGATCCTCTTGGGAGTCATCATGCGGCACTTGAAGGGCAAGCAGGCGATCAGGCCCAGCCAGCATGGGTTTATGGAAGGCAGGTCCTGCTTGACGAACCTGATCTCCTTCTACGACAAAGTGACGCGCTGGGTGGACGAGGGAAAGGCTGTGGATGTGGTCTACCTTGACTTCAGCAAGGCTTTTGACACCGTCTCCCACAGCATTCTCCTCAAGAAACTGGCTGCTCTTGGCTTGGACTGGCGCACGCTTCGTTGGGTTAGAAACTGGCTGGATAGCCGGGCCCAAAGAGTTGTGGTGAATAGAGCCAAGTCCAGTTGGAGGCCAGTCACTAGTGGCGTCCCCCAGGGCTCGGTGCTGGGGCCGGTCCTCTTTAACATCTTCATCAATGATCTGGATGACAGCATTGAGTGCACCCTCAGTAAGTTTGCAGATGACACCAAGCTAGGTGCGTGTGTCGATCTGCTCGAGGGTAGGAAGGCTCTGCAGGAGGATCTGGATAGGCTGCACCGATGTGCTGAGGTCAACTGTATGAAGTTCAACAAGACCAAGTGCCGGGTCCTGCACCTGGGGCGCAATAACCCCAAGCAGAGCTACAGGCTGGGAGAGGAATGGTTGGAGAGCTGCCAGGCAGAGAAGGACCTGGGAGTGATGGTGGACAGTCAGCTGAATATGAGCCAGCAGTGTGCTCAGGTGGCCAAGAAGGCCAACGGCATCCTGGCTTGTATCAGAAACACTGTGACCAGCAGGGCTAGGGAGGTGATCGTCCCCCTGTACTCGGCTCTGGTGTGGCCGCACCTCGAGTACTGTGTTCAGTTTTGGGCCCCTCGCTACAAGAAGGACATCAAGGTGCTTGAGCGGGTCCAAAGAAGGGCGACGAAGCTGGTGAGGGGCCTGGAGAGCAAGTCCTATGAGGAGCGGCTGAAGGAGCTGGGCTTGTTCAGCCTAGAGAAGAGGAGGCTCAGGGGTGACCTTATTGCTCTGTATAAGTACATTAAGGGAGGCTGTAGCGAGGTGGGTGTTGGCCTGTTCTCCCATGTGCCTGGTGACAGGACGAGGGGGAATGGGCTAAAGTTACGCCAGGGGAGTTTTAGGTTAGATGTTAGGAAGAATTTCTTTACTGAAAGGGTTGTTAGGCACTGGAACGGGCTGCCCAGGGAGGTGGTGGAGTCACCATCCCTGGAAGTCTTTAAAAGACGTTTAGATGTAGAGCTTAGGGATATGGTTTAGTGGGTACTGTTAGTGTTAGGTTAGAGGTTGGACTCGATGATCTTGAGGTCTCTTCCAACCTAGAAATTCTGTGATTCTGTGATTCCCTCAGGCCACATCCACCTGCTCCCACATGGGGTCTTCCATCAGCTGCAGCTTGGAGATCTGCTCCAACATGGTGCACCACAGGGGAGCTTCTTCTCCAGCACCTGGAGCACCACCTCACACTCTTTCTTTACTGACCTTGGTGTCTGTGGGGTTGTTTCTCTCACATTTTCTCACTCTTCTCTCCCAGCTATTCCTTCATGTCATTTTTTCCCCTTCCTTGAAAACGCTCTCACAGAAGTGCAACCAGCATAACTCATTGGCTGAGCATTGGCAAGCAGCGTGTCTATTTTGGAGTCAGCTGGAACTGGCACTTCCCTAACAAGGGGCAACTTACGGACGCCTTACAGAGACTACCCTTGCAGCCCCCTCGCTACAAAAGCCTTTGCATGTAGGCCCAGTACAACTTCCCACCTGCAAAGGAAAAACAGAGCCCATACAAGCAGCAGCAGACCCATGAGCTGGCAATGGCAAGGCACTGCTGCTGCTTTGGGGCTGCTAGCAGATGAAAACCCTGACAGAACTGCTCAGAGTATTTTTTTTTTTTTTTTGTCTCTGTCTTCCATGGATGAGATAAAACAAGGAGGGTTTTGGCAGGGGGTGAGCTATTCCTCACTTGTGCTTAGGTGGGAGGTTAGAAACCAGCCCAGGTATTTGCACCAAACCCAAAACACACACACATCCCAGAGCAACAGGGAGCACACTATCATGGCCCAGCTCTGCACACCCATGCATTTCCTGACAGGACACATTGGGTGAAACACACGCTGGTGATTCCAGGACCAAAGGGACTCCTCATAGGTATTCCAGCTTGGCTTAGGGCATGTGCTTACCCTACTCTGAGCTGGAAAGCTCCCCAAAGTGCTCAGTGCAGTATTTCCAGCCTGTGGAGTTCAAGTAATAGTCAAACAAGCTTTGAGAATGTGCCCCAACACACACCTGCACAGTCATGGGCCTCCTGCTGCCTCCTGAGAGCCTGAGGCACAGCTGACCTCAGCAGAGCATCCCCACCCATCTCCTCCTTGAGTCCATGAGCTGACCACATCCATCTCACCTCACCTGCCTCCTCCAAGACCAAGCAATTGCTGTAGGACCTCTCAAGCCCTGCTCAGCTTCATGAGGCCAAACTTCTTCAGTTAGGTTACTAGACCACAGGAATGCAGGATTTGGGGATTAGGTGTTCAGGTTAGGCTTTAGGGATTAGATTTTGCCTTCCAGGGTTAGTGGTTGGGCAGAGTATTAGAGGGAGGCCTGTGTTTACTGCGTTGGCTTCTAGTCTGTGTGTAGTGTAGAGACTATTTTATGTTGTGTTGGGATTTTCTTCAGGGCTTTGTTGAGGAATCATGATAAGGCTGAAATTCAATGCTAGGGATGAAAGGCTGAGGAATACCATGAGAAATGAGCTAAGAGTGTATGGTAAGGCCTTATGGATTTGGGACTTGGCTAACTCATGCCAGATGAGATTTGGGGTTAGGAGTAAGAGTAGTGGATTCCTTGCAGAGAGAGGGATAGCATTTAGGTGTTAGGGTAGGGCTTACAGTTACTGCTTAGAAATATTGCCAGGGCTTAACCTGGATGTTTTCCTAGTAAGTGTTGCAGCAGCACAGCCTTGCCTGAACCCCTCTCACCTCTTCCAGATCTTTCCTTTCTGTTAGCCAAGTCCCTCTTCTCTCCCCCAAATCTCCCACCTTTATTCTCTCAGCTTTCCCCTGGTCTCCCCAAATGTGTCACCCTGTTGGGGGCAGCTTTCTGAAGGCCTATATGACCTCAGAGGCTCTGCCTCCCTGATGTTGTCCAGACAGGTGCTTGGACAGAAATGACCTCACAGCCAGCATCCACAGGGCTACAAGGAGCTGTTGTGCTCAGGAGGCCTCTTTCCAGCCCACCCAGGAGCACCAGGTGCATGCCCTTCACAGTCCCTCAGGTACTCTGCCTGCCAACCAGCTCATGCTTCAGAAGGTCTTCTGCATGTCCAGACTCACGTTTCCTCATGCAGCCTTTAGCAACTCCATTGCATCCTAAAGGAAATGCCCACCCATGTGTGGAAAAGTGATTCAAGAACTTTACAGTGGAGGTGCAGGTAGGGAGCCAGCTGTGTTAGAGACCCTGGCCTGTGGACAAAGGACTTCCCCACAGCAGCACAATGAGCAATCAGAGCTCACAGCAACAGAAGGGCTCTGAAGGAGAGAGTGGGAGGTGGAAGAGAGCACCTCAGGACAGACCAAACCCTCAGGCTCTCTGGTAATGCTGCTGTGCCAGGACTCTTCTCCCCTCCACCTCTGCACACAGCCAAGTGCCTCTGCAGTTCCACCACAGGTGTCTGAGATCTCAGGCAAGAAAGGATCTCAGGCAAGAAAGTCACTGCAGGGTCCTTTCTTTTATTTAAACATACAGAGAGCCTGGCTCATTGTTTCCACCAAGTCTTGGAGTCACCCAAGACAGGTGAAATGACGGGGAGGAAAAATGTTATGTCTTTGTGCCTTTGTGGACACAATCATAAGCAAGGGAAAAAAAAAAAAAAAAGCAAGGCACACTCACAGAAAACAAACATTTGGGAATATAACGAGTTACATTATGAGTGATATGCAGAAGAAAACAGGGTATTTATTGCTTCTGACACACTCCAGTCATCACTTTCCACACTGCATCCTTCAGCTCCTGGTTCCTCATGCTGTAGATGAGGGGTTTCACTGCTGGAGGCACCACCGAATACAGAACTGCCAGCAAAAGATTCAGGGAGGAGGAGGACATAGAGGGAGGCTTCAGGTAGGCAAATGTGCCACTGCTGATGAACAGGGAGACCACGGCCAGGTGAGGGAGGCAAGTGGAAAAGGCTTTGTGCTGGCCCTGCTGCGAGGGGATCCTCAGCACAGACCTGAAGATCTGCACATAGGACACCACTAGGAAAACAAAACAGCCAGATGCTAAAACAGCACTAACCACAAGAAGCCCAACTTCTCTGAGGTAGGCATCTGAGCAGGAGAGCTTGAGGATCTGGGGAACTTCACAGAAATACTGGTCCAGGACATTGCCTTGGCAGAGGGGGAGGGAAAAGGTATTGGCAGTGTGCAGAACACCATAGAGAAACCCACTACCCCAGGCAGCTGCTGCAATGTTGGCACAAGTTCTGCTGTCCATTACTGTCCCATAGTGCAGAGGTTTGCAGATGGCGATGTAGCGGTCATAGGCCATGATGGTAAGGAGAGAAAACTCTGCTGAAAGAAAAATGAAAAAGAAAAAAACCTGAGCAGCACAACCTGTGTAGGAAATGGCTGTGGTATCCCATAGGGAGTTGGCCATGGCTTTGGGAACAGTGGTGGTAATAGTGCCCAGGTCGAGGAGGGCGAGGTTGAGGAGGAAGAAGTACATGGGGGTGTGGAGGTGGTGGTCGCAGGCTATGGCTGTGAGGATGAGGCCGTTGCCATGGAGGGCAGCCAGGTAGATGCCCAGGAAGAACACGAAGTGCAGGAGCTGCAGCTGGCGTGTGTCTGCAAATGCCAACAGGAGGAACTCAGTGGGGAAGCTGCTGTTGGACATTTGCTGCCTCAGAGCATGGATGGCTGTCAGTGGTGGAAAAGACACAAACAAGTTAGAGAAATTTCTCTGTGCAATACCTATAGCTATAGATTATGTTTCATCGAAACCTCCTCAGCAAGACAGACTACTACTTCCCTTTGAGGAAGATGTTCTCTTGCCTCTAGCACTCACTTTTACTTCCTAAGTGTGTAGAGAGACCAGACAGATCCTGTGTGGGCTCAGCCAGAGTCACTACAGCGTCTGCTGAAAACCAGTGGGGATGGATTTCAGGTGCCCACTGGACACAGGTGTCTCAGTATTTTAGGTGCTGAGTACAACATCCAACAATCTGTCACAAAACAATGAGGTATATAGGTTATAGAGTGTGGAGGAAAACTGTGAGATTCCTCACAGACCTACAGACCTCTTTCAGTGGAATAATCTAACAGCCTCAGTGACTGACACAACCAGACAACTCCATTAGTGTTCTCCTGACTGCTCTTTAGGGCAGGAAAATGAAAGCAGAGACTCTAGAGAGTGCCTTCCATGCAGGTAGTGCAGGAGTAGGTCCATCTTGTCAAGAATCACTGCCAGAGGTGCCCTGGGGGTGCTGTAGAGCTGAGAGCTGCCTACCCCAGGAAGCAGCGTCTGGGCAACAGCAAGACCCTGCCCTGCCCTGCCAGGGGAGGGGGAGCTTCTTCCACCCACAGCTTCTCCCTGAAGCACCCTGGGCAGCTCCTCCGGCAGGCTGAGTGCTGAGTCTGGCAGGTAGCAGAGGCCCTGTCCCGGCACACAGTCCCTGGGGCACAGCAGGGACCCTGCTCTGCACCACAGCCCTGGCCACCCCTGACTGCAGCCCGGCTGCAGCCAGCCCTGTGAGAAAGAAACATCATGTCCTGTCCTTCAGTTATTTATGGCAGATAATCACTGTTCCGGAGCTTGTTGTTCTCCTCTTATCCAAACACTGAGAGTCCTCCTGAAAGCTCCCATAGGTTGAGGGATTTGCCATCAAATCTGGAGATGGCACCAGGAACAACAGCTGTGCTGCCCTGCAGCCAGAGACTTACCCTGTTCAGGGCTGTGAAGATTTCTCCCACAGTGAGCTCTCAGCATCCCCTCTCCACACTGCCTTTAACATCTCCCTCCCTTCTCTCAGCCGCCCTTGTCCCCTGCAGGCAGTGCCCCCAGCCCTGCTGTGCTGTGCAGAGGAGCTGCTCCTGGGCAGAGCTGTCTCTCTGCAGTGCTGCGTGCTTGCCAGGAGCTGCCCTTGGGTCCAGGAGCCTGGCCCAGTTCAGCAGCACAGGGAGCTCTTGACAAGTCCCTGGGCCTCCAGGGGAATCAACTTTGAAACAGACTGAAGTAATCACTGATATTCCCTCCCGCTACTTTGGAAAGAAACTTTTCCAGCACTGTTATTCTTCATACAGAAAAACTATGAGGTCCAAGAACCACTTTTCTCTGTCCTGGTTTTAGGCAGAACAGCCATGCAAGGACAGGGAGGGACCTGCCTTCCCCCTGCTGAGAGAAGTGTTTCAGCTGAGTAAAACAAGGCATCTACTTCTTTATTTGCTGTCCAGAGGCTACAAGGGGGCTCAGCTTCCTCTCCCATGCATCACACAACCCACACGAGTTGGGATTCCTCTTGACCTGGTTCAGGGGGGCACAAACTAGGCAGCTGCATGTCAGCTGCCTGTCTCAGCTCCCAGCATATTGAATGGAGACAGAGAGCAGAAGGGAGCTGTTCAGATGCAGACACCAGGAGACATTGGAGGTGCCAGGGTGACGTTTGAGTGATGTTTCAAGTGCCAAATTCCTCTGGGCCATTAACAGAGATTTTATTGATGCATGTCCATTATAATACAGCTATAGCCATTGTTCAATAGCAAAGAAACAAAAGGCAAGCTATGACTTGGTTGCCATCACTGAAAGGTGGTGGGACCACTCCCATGACTGGAGTACTGCAATGTCTGGCTATAAGCTCTTCAGAAGGGACAGGCAGCACAGAAGGAGTGGTGGCATAGCTCTATATTAGAAAGTGTTTTGATGTTGTGAAACTCGAGGCTGAGAATGATAATGTTGAGTACCTGTGGGATAGGGTCAGCGGGAAGGCCAACAAGGCAGTCATCCTGGTGGGGATATCTTATAGACTGCCAAACCATGATGAGGAGACAGATGAGGAATTCTACAGGCAGCTGGCAAAAGTTGCAAAATCATCAGCACTTGTTCTCATGGGGGACTTCAACTTCACAGATATATCCTGGAAATGCAATACAGCTCAGAAGAAGAAGTCCAGGAGGTTTCTGGAGAGTGTGGAAGATAGCTTCCTGATGCAGCTGGTTAGTGAGCCTAACAGGGGAGGTGCCCTGCTAGACCTTCTCTTCACAAACAGAGAAGGACTGGTGGGAAATGTTGTGGTTGGCAGCTGGCTTGGGCAGAGTGACTGCGAAATGTTAGAGTTCATTCGTGGTGAAGTCAGGAGAGAGATCAATAAAACCACAGTCTTAGACTCTCAGAGGGCAGACCTTGAGCTCTTCAGGACACTGGTTGGCAGAGTCTCTTGGGAGGCAGTTCTGAAGGGCAGAGGAGTCCAGGAAAGCTGGGCACTCTTCAAGAAGGAAATCTTAAAGGCTCAGGAGCAGTCTGTGTTTATGTGCCCAAAGACGAGCCAATGTGGAAGAAGAAAGGCTTGGCTGAACAGAGAGTTGCTGCTAGAGTTTGGGAAGAAAAAGAGGGTTTAGAACATTTTAAGAGGGCAGGCCTCTCAGGAGGGCTATCAGGATATCCTGAGGCTGTGCAGGGACAAAATTAGAAAGGCCAAAGCTCATCTGGAGCTCACTCTGGCTACTGCTGTTAAAGATAACAGAAAATGTTTTTATAAATGCATCAACACAAAAGGAGGACTAAGGAGAATCTCAATCCTTTACCAGATGCGGGAGGAAACTTAGTGACAAGAGATGAGAAGAAGACTGAGGTGCTTAATGCCTTCTTTGCCTCAGTCTTTGGCAGCAAGACCAGTTGTTCTCTGGGTACTCATCCCCCTGATCTGGTGGAAGGGGGATGATCTGGTGGAACTAGCTGCTGTGCGTCAGAGAGGCTGGGAGTCCAGCAGCAGTGCCATGGGCTGGAAGGATCACAACCAGCTCACTTCAACCTGGGCAGATTCTGGCCCAAGAAGGGAGTGTTTTATAAGTATGGTATTATGAGGGCAGTGGTGCCTCAGAAACTTCAGTAAGTCCAGAAGGTCCAGTAGGAAGCAAATGGCTGTTAAACAGCCTGTGAGTTGACTTCTTTCTGAAGCAGCTGACAGGTCATCCCTTGACTCCTGGCTTTGATCTGTGCCTTTAGGCTGACAAATGCTGGTCTCCATGACAAGCCAGCAGATGCACCTGCTTTGCACATAGTTTGTGAGATCCTCTCTTCCTAAGTCCCTGGCAGGCCCCATAGAGGAAGAGGTCTTGAAGAGGTTTTGTCGTGTCAGAAGTTTCAGCTCTTGCCTAATTCATCCTTCAGAGCTGCTTTCAGTTTTTGACACAGAGGGGGCCACTGCCTCCGAGATGTCTGGGGGAACACAAAGCCTTCATGAGGGCAGGGAAAAAGTTATCCTGGGTCCATAGGTGCCATTCTAGAAACAAAACATGTAGGCAGGAAGCACACTTTTGTGGTGTTGCAGAGCTGCTGGGCACATTGCACGGGGTGCTCTGACAGCCTTTGTGTCCTTCTCCATGCTGCCTTAGGAGCTGCTTCTTTCTCAGGAACAGAGTAGCCAACAGAGGTGAGGCAGATACTCTGAGTTCATGAAAGCCATCAGAAAGCTGCCACTAAGAAGATGACTGATACGGGGAAGGCAAGAGGAGCCTGGCCAGGAGAGGTGTGAGATTTGGGGAAGGAAAGAAGAGCTTGGATAGCAGAAGGTAATGATTTTGGAGAGGTAAGAATATTCAGGTAATGTTGATCCCACCATAAAGCTGACTTAAAGCAGTCATGTGAGGCCCTTACCCTTTTTTAACCTGTTACATTAATACCTAAATCTAAGTGCCACTCTACACGCTGACAGGAATCCACTGCTCTAATTTTGACCACAATATCCCTTGAAGCCAAAATTAGTCCATAACCCCTTTCCATTACCTTTCCTCTCTTGCTCACCCTGATCCCTTCCCTTAACATAAAGCATATTCCACACTAGCACTGTGTTGAACTTCAAGTTGGTGATGGCAAAGTTGAGAGCCTTTGAGTAAGGATTAAGGGATGAACAAATAAAGGGATGTCGTTGTGGGAGTCCAGCTGGAGGAATGTGACTGTGGAAGTGTCTGTGAGGTCACTTCTGTCTCTGCAGTTGATAGGGCAGCAGCAGCAACGTGTCACAGAAAGGGACTGTGAGGTCACTTCTGTCTGAAGTAGCTGACAGGTCACACTTATACCTTGGATCTGTACTTTTCAGCTGACATCTGCCAGTGGTCCTGGTAGACCAGCAGAAGGCACCTGTTTGGCATGCTGACCATGGGATCCCCTCTGCCTACATACCCAGGAGGACCCAGAAAGAAAGAAGGCCCAGATATGGGTTGTCCTGTCCCTACTACTTGAGTCCATGACTGGACAGCAGCAGGCACAAGTCTTGGGTGTGTCTACAGAAAAAGCTGTAAGGTCAGCAGCTGGACTGCTGTCTGGTTAGTTGACAC